TCCCCTCTTCTCCCTTCCCTCTCTCCTTCCCTCCGGTTGAATTACACCGCAGCCTGTAGCTAGGGAGAGTTTGGGGGCATTACTAACCTGTGCAGTGGCCTAGAGGTGGTGCTCTCACCTCACAATCAGGAGACTGTGGGTTTGATCCTAGGTAGAGGCAGATATTTCTCTCTCTCCACACGTTTGAGATTATGCCTGCCGAAAAATAACTCCGCACTGGCGACAGGAAGGGCATCCGGCCAGTAAATACTCAGCTCCATTCAGTTGCCCTGACTCCACCCTGATGCAAGGGTATACGGGGGTCATTAAAAGACCAACCAACTTCTGTGGTGAGGCAAGCCATGGTTGGCTGGGCGATGCTAATGATGGGGATTGTAGTCCAAGTTCAATGTCCCTTTGTAGCCAGGCGTCTGCTGCATGTTTAACTGGGGCTGGAGGAGGCGCCACGGTCTCGGCCGTGTAGGCTGAGGTCCTGCTCTGTGGCACGAAGGCCGTGGCAGCCTCAGGGCAGAGGGTCCTCCAGGCAAGAGACGGTGGCTGCGTCCTTTGCAGGTGAAATGAAGTGCTTCAGGCCTCCCCTCAGGTGCCTTTGGATAAAGAGCAGGTTGTAAGTGCTGACCTTGAATTTTCTCTCTTTTTTTCCTCTCTCTCTTTTTTCAACCAGGTCATCTCAGCGGTTTCCAGGCTTTCCCACCACAGCATTGCCCAGAACAAGGGAATCAGGTAGAACAACCGCCTCTTACTCCACTTTGAGATTCCTTTTTAATGGAAAACTGGTTTTTTTGCAACAAATAAATTAATGTTTTGCTTTAAAGGGAGGCTTATTTGAGGGTTGCAAACATCTCCTTCAAAATGTGTTACAGTTGAATTATCCAACCGTGAATGATGAAGCTGCTGGGTTTAGGAGCAGGGCGACCAAGGCTCCTGTCCTTCCTGAGGCTGGGGGTGATTTTGGTCCACCACCCCCCGCCCCTCATCTCGGCCCTACACTGGAGATCAAAAAACATCTATGGCCCAACCCAAGCTGGACCACCATGGAAAATTGCAGCCCATTCCTTCCGGGAAGGGACCCTTGTCCTGCCTGGATCAGGATTTGGGATAACAAAATCATTAACATGTCATTATTTAATATAAGAGACCTGGTGGCGCAGTGGCTAGAATGCAGTACTGCAGGCTGCTTCTGCGGCCTGCCAGCTGCCAGCAATTTGGCAGTTCGAATCCCACCAGTTCAAGGTTGACTCAGCCTTCCGTCTTTCCGAGGTGGGTAAAATGAGGACCCAGATTGTTGGGGGAAAGAGGCTGACTCTGGAAACCACTTAGAGAGGGTGTGAAGCGGCATATAAGTCTAAGGGCTAATGCTATTATTGATAATTCAGTTAATGCAAGGAGATGACATTTCATTTAAACAGATGTTATAAAACTGATTTTCCATTTCATGCCTCAATTTCCTGGTGATCTATGACTTCCTTAACCTTCAACTCCCATCTCTTGAGCTGGTTTCTCTCTCTCATGGCTATCTGTTCAGGCTATCTGGTCTGCCAGTGCCCAGATGTGCTCAGGTGTCCCTGAGTTTCCTGCTCACCTTTGCTCCTTTCTAAGGGCTTGTCTGCTTTTGGGGGGACAGCCGATAGCCCTGAAGGTGCAACTTTGCAAGCCTCGGCAGAGATTCACTTCTAGCCGTGAATTGTGGGTGTAGGCAGGTCCAACCTCTGAAGGAGGCCGCCCGAGAAATAGGCTGGCTTTCAGAGAGGTCTCAGGGGCTGCAAAGATGCAAACATCTTAATGGGGAAAAGGCGAGAAAGAAAAAGAAAATGCCTCCCATTGGCCAGGCCTTTGCAGCACGGAGGCTTCTTGGAAAGGGACTCGGTTGGCTGCCTCTGAGGAGGCGTTTATTGTAAGAGAGCATGAAACGAACTGAAAAAGCAGCGGTGTGTGTGTGTGTGTGTGTGTGTGTGTGTGTGTGGAGCCTAAAGGCTGAAAGCTTGAAGGCAGGTGTGGTTGTGTCTTCTGGTCCTTCTAGTTTATGCCACTAAAAAAGTTAACTGGATTTTTATTAAAACGGAGGCGTTTCGTTACTTATCCAAGTAACTTCTTCAGTCAAAATTTGGGTAGGCAGAGAGTCACTGGAGTGAACAACTTGCCATGCAGACTGCAGGGAGTTTCTCCCCCAAATCAAAAGCAACACGTAAACCAAGGCTCCCATCATCCAGGCCAAATGAAAGCAATTTTAATAAATGTTGGTCCCGTTGCCATCATTTCATCTTTTGAGATACTTTTGGCCTGGATCATTGAGTCTGCATTTACATAACGTTATGATCCCTACAGACAATACATTAAGTTTCATAGATCAGCCCAAAATTCAGTTCTAACCTCAGTCCCTTAGCAGGTCAGTTGTTGGTCAAAATTACTGGTTTGTTGCTCAGCCTATGCAAAGGAATCTTCTTAAACTAGCATGTCAAATGAGGTAAGGTTTAAAGCATTTGAGGGAGTGGTGGGCTTTGTTCTCTTGAGACTGACTGCATAGAGACTAAGCTGATTGCTCTCTTGACTCCTCCTCCACTCTCTGCCAATCTCTCTCCTGAACTGCCCTGCCTGGTTTCTGTCCAAGAAGCCGCTCTGTGGCTGCTTCTGGTCAGGAGTCTTCTCAAGGAAGGAAAAGTTGCTAGGATACAGTCGTCATCTCTACCAGACGTGGTCTTCAGGACCAAGCATTGGGAGAGGGACCAAACCCCCCTATTTGTCATTAACACCCACAAGAAAGATTTAAATAGGGCTGAACAGTGTCTCCTGCCCTGTTGGCCAAAAGCTGGAGGAGGGTGAAACATCTGCAGAGCTCAGGATACTGGCCTCTTGGGATTTTACGGAGACCAAGGCTCCGAAGCCCCCTTGAAGGCCAGGAGTCCGGCTCTGCTCCGTCCAGGACCCAGGCAAAGCAGCAGCTGCCCAGCTTCCATGCTGTCCCCGGGGGAAGGTTTGGGTGTCCAGCAGGAAGCAGGGAAGAGATACTTGTTGTTGGAACCTGTGCGCTTCTGCATTCTTGTTTGTCCTCCTTGGCATGGAAGGAAAGTGGGTCTTTACGTGGACCGAAGAAAAGCAGAATCCACATCCGGAGGCTTCTTGAGCACTTGTGCCCTCATTTCTGGAGGGGAGGGAGGGTTGGTGCCTTTCTCCATCAGAGGAATCTCTTTGCAGGGACCTTGGTTGGTTGGTTGGTTGTGGTCTGACCAAGGCTCCCCGAGACACCAATAAACACACATAAAACCCAAAACTCTTACTTTAGTTCAGTGGCTGTGTATTATCGTCATTCACAACCTGGAATGAGTTTTAACCGGGTATAATTAGTCCCAGGGACGTCTGCCAATGTTCTTCGATAAGAGCACACCTTGCCTGACTTGAAGTGCTGCCAACGACTAAAGTCCCAATTAGTCTTTCCAAAACCAAACAGAGAACAAATTCACCATGGAGCTTTCAGCGTCCAAACCAATCAGAGCGAATGACCTTGCTTCCTGCAAAGGATTTCCTACCTTTGCACTTCCTTTATACCTTATGGGAGGGGCCAATCACTTCCAAGCCTTACTCCCGAGTCACCCCTTTTGTCTCAGCTGCTCTTGCCTTCTAGCAGCTCTGCGCACATGCGCACTGGGAACAGGCTCCCCTGGGTCCTCTGCCTCACTGCTACCAGACTCTGGAGGCTTCGAAGGTAGCACCCCACTCCCAGATGGCCCTGGCCCCATCTCTGTATCAGGTGCAGGACCCTCGTCCGAGTCCTCCCCAGACTCCCAGACTGGTCCCCGTTCTTCCCCACTGTCCAATTCCGCTGCCGGCTGCTGGCGGACCACAACCGGTTGAACCTATAACTGCCCATCTCACCGCAGAAAAGGGGGCAGTGCGCTGAGGGTGAAACCTGAAAAGGCAAGGGACGTAATCTGCCAATTAAAGCACCACCTGTATTGGTGTGACTGACTCACCTGTCTTCTTTCCTCCAGGCCCTTCCCTTCAGAGGAGACCACCGAAAATGAGGACGATGTCTACCGCAGCTTGGAAGAACTGGCGGAGTAAGTGTCCTCGTGAGGGTGACCGGGAGGGGACAGGTGCCCTTCTGTAAAGTGGTGGCGTGGCCTCTCTTGGGAGGTCTTCTCTCTCTGGTCCCTTGGCGTGGGTCCCCAGGGCCAGCTGGCACTGCGCAGGGCCGAGACTTTGCCGTGGCTCCTTCCCTGCGCAGGTCAGCTTGGCTCTCAGCAGATGACGGGAAAAGCTCCTTGGTGAGTGGGGCTGAGTAAGGGGGCCTGGCCTGCCTGCGAGGGGAAGCCAGCAGCCTCAGCAGCTGGGTTGCCCCTCTTCTCAAGAGGGCGGGAATGTCCCCAGCCCCCCCCTCCCCCTTCCTGGCTGCTGCACGGGCAACTCTGGACCTCGGAGGGCTCCTCTGTTTCTAGCAGTTGTGTTGTGTTGTCCGTCTGGAAGAGAGCTTAACAGGCAATATTATAAAAGGTATATTATATAACATAAAAGGATTTTATCACAGAGATTTTATTTAACATTTAGGCTTGCGTGGTGTGGTGGCCTAGAGGTGGAGCTCCGGCCTCACAATCAGGAGGCTGTGAATTCAATCCTAGGTAGAGGCAGATATTTCTCTCTTTGGGCACACTGAGAATATATCTGCTGAATATAATTCTGCATTGTCAACAGGAAGGGCATCCGGTCAGTAAACACTCAGCTCCCTTAAGTTGCCCAGGATCCACCCCGCAAGGGATCATCAAAAGACAATGATGATTCTATTTAATATTTAGACTCCTCTACTACTGTACTTCAAGGAGATTTATTTCACGCCAGTATTAAGTAGGGGATCAACCGCTCTGCCCTTTAAAAGATTAGTGCTGTTTACTTTGGGGTGGCCAATCTCTTCGTCGGCCAGCCACTGGACTTTGCCACACCCATTTTCTGGCCCAAATGGATGTTTGAGACTTGCGTTCTGGTTCATCTTTTGTTGTCACGGATACGCATTCAAAGGCAGCTCGCTCTCTTTCTCTTCGTTGCTGCTCTGGTGAGAGAATGGCCCCTAAATCAGGACAGCACCAAGAAAGGAAAATCGCTTTAGCATCTATTAAATATTAATGGCAAATTAATAACAAATCATAGAAAAACAGCAGATGAATATAATACCAGATGGCCATAGATTTAGACCATAATTACAAAGCAGCGTTGAGTAAAAGATAGATCAGAAACTAGTCGAGGCACAATTGGTGGTCAAAGCAGGCGGATTCATTCCTGAGTTAGGTCTTTCCCGCCATCGGAAACTCCAGCGTTCTGAGCAGGAACCTCACCGGAGAATAAGACGCCGCCTGCCCCCTCTGGCCCCCCAGGCGGGCATTCAAGTCTCGGGGTGGCGGAAAAAGGAAAGCAAGAAGCCTCTTTCTGTCAACCAGGGAGGCTGCCCAGCCGAGGGGCCAGAGGCAGAAAGAGTCCATTCTCTAGCCTTGGGGCCTGGCTGGAGCGGCTCCTTTCTGAGACACACACACACACGCACACACACACACGCCCAGCTCCCACCAGGGCCGCCTCCCCTCCCCGGCCCTGACGAGGAAGCCTCTGCCTTTTATTCTTATATTTTATTCTAGCGAGCACGATTTGGGGGAGGACATTTACGATTGCGTCCCGTGTGAAGATGAAGGGGACGACATCTACGAAGACATCATCAAAGTGGAGGTGCAGCAGCCCATGGTGAGGAACCTGGGACTGGCTGGGGGGCGGGGGGGGGGAAGGGGGCAGGCTCCTTTTGGCCTCCCTCCCTTTTGGAGACCCCCCCACCCCCTTTTGGAAGTTGGGGGCAGGCTAGGGAAGGGGGGGGGATCCTTGGGCCTCCTTCAGTCTTGATTCCCCATCCGAGAGTCAAGTGGGCTCTCCAACTTCCTGGCCAGGGCCCTCTCCCCATCTTCGGAACAGTCCTTATGGCTGACGGTGCCTCCAAGGAGGTGGAATTAACTGTGGCGGAGGGAAAATAATGTTTCAAGAAGCCGAATCTGTTCAACTTGGACATAGATGGCCTCTTGGACCCCTCTTTCAAACCAGAGGTCCTCTCCTCTCATCCAGTCAGAGCTGAAGAAGCTTCTGGAACGAGGAGCAAAACATCTTCCAAGAAAAACCAGAAAGTCCAGTTGCCCCTTGAAAAAGTGCCCCCTTAGGGGACATTGCCCACTTAGCTTCCAAGGAGGCTCGCAGGGGCTTCTTGGAGAGGCAGAATCCTCCAAGACGTTTCTAGCCGGCAGTGGTGGAGAAGCGCCTTCTAAAGGTTTGCCCAAGAGCTCCTTCGCTTAAGGGGGAGTCTGAGGTGCCCCCCAGTTCCTGGGAGGTGTGCGGCGAACGAGGCTTACTTGGCAAGAGCAGGGAGATTTCCTTGCATTTCACAAAGGCCTCTTACACTTCCTTCAGTACTGGGGGCGGGTGGGGAATAAGGGGGAAGTTATGCGGGCATTGATGATGTCAAACGTAACCATGCTTCACTGTGCTTGTTATCTATGCATGCTTCAGATCAGATATATGCAGGTGAGTTTCTCGCTGTAAGCAAAGAGGGGTCCCTCTCCCCTTCCGGGGTCTTGGGATGCTAGAAATAGTGCCACTTAGGGGCTCTGGGCCCAACATGAATGCAGCCCCACATGCCCGGGGAGCTTCTGCCCCAGGAATTAAGGGTGCTGGGAGGTGCCAGGGTGTCTCCTGATCAAGTTCACCCTCTTGGAAGGGTTGTTTGACATTTTTCTCTAGTTGCCTCCCAGATGTTATTGGTAGTTGCCGTGAGAACCCTTTCTGAGGTGCTGAGTTGGAATCGGCCTTTTGGGTGGGCCTCCTTCTGTCCGTCCTCCCCAATTCTTCACACCATATCATAGCTATATGCCACAGAGAGACAGGGCCGGCAGCTGAAGCGTTGGCCTCTACTGAACATTTTGGAGCACTGCTTTGGTCACTGATGAGTCCACCTGTTCTCCAAGGTCCCTCCTCCTCTTTGGACAGCCGGCCTGGAAGAATTTGACTGGGGTTGCGGGGGGGATGGTGGAAATCACCCTTCTGGTAGTAGGTGCTGAAGGCAGAGCTTGCTCTGTGGTGGATCAATGGTTTCTCCTCCCTTCCTCCTGACAGTGGAGGATGGGTTTGGATCTCGGCTGACCCTTCTCGCCTTCCTCGGCGTCTCATTATGGCCACCCTCAACTCAGGTGGCTTCAGCCCCAGGCAGATGGTCCCGCGTTGGTCTGAGAGGCCACAGCTGATTCCTTTCCAAGGAGGGACAATATGGCTTGGCCTTCTCCTAGGCGCCTCCCCCGTCATGAAGGCCACAAGCAGGCAGGAAGGGTCTGTCTCTTAGGCCTCAGACTCAGGCCCGGCCCGAGTTGGGATGGAGCCCTTCTCCAGCCTGGCCTCGTCCATCCCTCCCTCTTTCCCTCTTGGGGGTATCTAATCCCTCGTCTTTCAGTAGAAAGTAATTTGACAGCAGCTCCTCTCTTCCCCCTGCTCTTCTAATGGAGATCCACCCGTCCGGATCTCCCCTGCCTCGCTGTGTCTTGCCGCTTTGGAAGAAAGAGGCAGTCCAAGGTTCAGGGAGACCCTTCAACTCGATATCCGGCCCAGCACCACGACCTGACCCCCCTCCGCAAGGGTCTCAGGGGTGCAGATGGGGACCAGTGGAAGCCCATCGGGCGGTCCTTCCTCTCCATCCCAGGGCCGCATCTGCAGGCGGGTGGGAACCGTCCCTGCCCACCATCCCCAGAGCCAGCTCAGAGCTGGGCGTCCGTGACCTGAATGCTGGCCATTCCGCCCTGGGCTTTGGGTGCCAATTTTTTTGTGCTGCTTCCTATAGAAAATGGGCATGACCGAAGATGACAAGAGGAACTGCTGCTTGTTAGAAATCCAAGAAACAGAAGCCAAGTACTACAAGACACTGGAGGAGATCGAGAAGGTGAGTGAGGGGCTCTTTGGAAAGGTCAGGCAGCATTGACTCCTCTTTCTCTGGAGAGGCGTCTCAGCGTGCGCCCAGGTTTTTCTTGCCTGTATAAAGTCTTACACTTAGGTAAGAAAAGCCAAAAGTACACATAAAAGCAGGCTTACTAACAGAAACTGTGAGAAGAGGGATCTTGGAGTCTTGGTGGACAAACAGCTAAATAGGAGCTAGCCGTGTGCAGCGGCAGCCAAAAAAGCCAATGCAATCCTAAGCTGCTTTAACAGAGGGATCCAATCAAGATCAAGGGAAGTACTAATACCACTTTATAAAGCCTGAGTAAGGCCACACCTAGAGTACTGCATCCACTTTTGGTCACCACACTATAAAAAAAATGCTGAGACTCTAGAAAGAGGGCAGAGAAGAGCAACCAGGATGATGAGGGGACTGGAGGCTAAAACATACGAAGAACGGTTGCAGGAACCGAGCCTGGCTAGTCTAGGGAAGAGAAGGACCAGGGGAGACATGATAGCAGTCTTCTAGTATTTGAAGGGCTGCTCCAGAAAGGATCAGCCTGTTTTCCAAGGCCAGACAAGGAATAATGGATGGAAACAGATCCAGGAGAGATTCAACCTGGAAATAAGGAGGAATTTTCTGACAGTGAGGACAATCAACCCGTGGAACAGGAGTTGCCTTTGGAAGTTGTGGGAGCTTCATCACTGGAAGCTTTCAAGAGGAGACTGGAGTGCCATCTGTCAGAAATGGTGTAGGGTCTCCTGCTTGGGAGGGGGTTGGACTATATGACCTACAAGGTCCCTTCCAACTCTGTTAAACTGTGACCCCTGGAGTGGAATCGCCTTACAAAGGTCAGACTTTTGCACGTAGAAAGGACTTTCGTAAGCAGAAGGCTACGACTGCCTTATCATTTTCTACTTTGCTTTTGTAGAACTACATGAATCCATTAAGGCTGATCTTGACTCCACAAGACATGGGAGCCATATTCATCAACTTGGAGGTAACGTTCCTGTGGTTCTACTTGGCTTTATTATCAGGCTCTGAGCCCTGCAGGCCTGCAGCTTCTGGTGTACAGCAAGCTCTGAGAACCAGCCATATGCTGGGTGCTGCCCCCAGCAACTCGTTTTTTTGAATCATGGTCAGTAATGACAAGCTGTACTTTCTTTTTAAATGGGCAAGGATTCAAATTTAAAATATGTCCCCAATTTCCCAATATGTTTTCTTTGTTTCAGGACCTTATTAAAGTGCACTTCAACTTTCTCAGATCCATCGATGTCTCCATGATGGCTGGTGGAAGCACCTTGGCCAAAGTTTTTCTTGAATTCAAAGAAAGGTAAGAAGGAAATTGAGGGGAGCTGGGCTGGGAGTTCCCTTCTCGTGGGGAAGAGGAGGCACATCCGTTCTTGCTTGGCTGCTTTGCAGGCTTTTGATCTATGGCGAGTACTGCAGCCGGATGGAGCACGCACAGACTACCCTGAATCATCTCATGGCCAACCGAGAGGACGTACGGCAAAAAGTTGAGGTAATCAAGAGCACTTTTCTTCATTTCTTGTATTTCATTCTTTCTGTAAAACTGCCGAGAGTCTCTAAATAATATTAACAATAACAACAAACAAACAAACAAATAAATAAATAAATTTGCAGAGTGGTTCTGAAAGCATCAAATCCTCTCTGCCTAACCAGTGAAAAAACCCCATCAAAATAATTAGTTTATGAAAAAATAATTTATTAAATTAATTTAAAATATAAGAAGAGACAAAAAAATGAAAAGAAATCATGTTCTGAGGCATTATATAAATTTGATAATTTTAAGGGACTGAAGATATTGCTAGAAGTAAAAGGAATGAATATAAAGCTGATTTATTCGATGAAGATTTACACACACACACGCACATGCACACGCACACACACACACACACACACACATACCCTGCTCAAGGAGGGGAGGAGAGGATTATTGATGGGTCTCAGATCTTCCTTAATAAGGGAAGCACTCCTCGGCCTGCTAATAACAATAAATGGTGAAGAACCACAATCCAGAATAAAGAGATGGCAGTTAGCCATCTAACTTAATGAGATCAGATCTTGAGAAAGGCACATCTAAGGCTCTTACATACCCTGCTCAAAAAAATAAAGGGAACACTTAAACAACACAATGTAACTCCAAGTCAATCACACTTCTGTGAAATCAAACTGTCCACTTAGGTAGCAACACTGATTGACAATCAATTTCACATGCTGCTGTGCAAATGGAATAGACAACAAGTGGAAAGCAGAGGCAGTTAGCAAGACATCCCCAAGAAAGGAGCGGTTCTGCAGGCGGTGACCACAGACCACTTCTCAGTTCCTATGCTTTCTGGCTGATGGTTTGGTCACTTTTGAATGCTGGCAGTACTTTCACTCTACTGGTAGCATGAGACGGAGTCTACAACCCACACAAGTGGCTCAGGTAGTGCAGCTCATCCAGGATGGCACATCAATGCGAGCTGTGGCAAGAAGGTTTGCTGTGTCTGTGAGCGTAGTGTCCAGAGCATGGAGGCGCTACCAGGAGACAGGCCAGTACATCAGGAGACGTGGAGGAGGCCGTAGGAGGGCAACAACCCAGCATCAGGACCGCTACCTCCGCCTTTGTGCAAGGAGGGACAGGAGGAGCCCTGCCAGAGCCCAGCAAAATGACCACCAGCGGGCCACAAATGTGCATGTGGCTGCTCAAACGGTCAGAAACAGACTTCATGAGGGTGGTATGAGGGCCTGACGTCCACAGGTGGGGGTTGCGCTTATAGCCCAACACCATGCAGGACGTTTGGCATTTGCCAGAGAACACCAAGATTGGCAAAGTCGCCACTGGTGCCTTGTGATCTTCACAGATGAAAGCAGGTTCACACTAAGCACATGTGACAGACGTGACAGGGTCTGGAGATGCTGTGGAGAACGTTCTGCTGCCTGCAACATCCTCCAGCATGACCAGTTTTGCAGTGGGTCAGTCATGGTGTGGGGTGGCATTTCTTTAGGGGGCCGCACAGTCCTCCATGTGCTCGCCAGAGGTAGCCTGACTGCCATTAGGTACTGAGATGAGATCCTCAGACCCCTTGTGAGACCATATGCTGGTGCGGTTGGCCCTGGGTTCCTCCTAATGCACGGCAATGCTAGACCTCATGTGGCTGGAGTGTGTCAGCAGTTCCTGCAAGATGAAGGCATTGATGCTGTGGACTGGCCCGCCCGTTCCCCAGACCTGAATCCAATTGAGCACATTTGGGACATCATGTCTCGCTCCATCCACCAACACCACATTGCACCACAGACTGTCCAGGAGTTGGGGGATGCTTTAGTCCAGGTGTGGGAGGAGATCCCTCAGGAGACCATCTGCCACCTCATCAGGAGCATGCCCAGGCGTTGTAGGGAAGTCATACAGGCACGTGGTGGCCACACACACTACTGAGCCTCATTTTGACTTGTTTTAAAGGACATTACATCAAAGTTGGATCAGCCTGTAGTGTTTTTTTCCACTTTAATTTTGAGTGTAACTCCAAATCCAGACCTCCATGGGTTGCTAAATTTGATTTCCATTGATACCTTTTGTGTGATTTTGTTGTCAGCACATTCAACTATATAATGAACAAAGTATTTCATAAGAATATTTCATTCATTCAGATCTAGGATGTCTTATTTTTGTGTTCCCTTTATTTTTTTGAGCAGTGTATATATTTATTAGGCTATTGGATTTTTGCTGACATTATGATTGAAATATATTTATTTATTTGTAAAATTTATTGACTCCCCCATCTTTCCCAGGGTAACAATCATAAAAGATAAAAACAGTACATGGTGATGTTTTATGGAATTGTTTATAGATAAAGACATGGGAGGTGGTAAGAAGAGATCATTGGTTGTATTTTAAGGGAAGGTGATAATTTACTATTGTTGCGATGAAAGTGGGAAACCTTTTATTTACATATTTCCTTTTTTCCCCTTTACATTATTTTGCTTTCTTTTCTATTTGTCTTTCTCTTTTTTCCTTTTTTTTTCTTTTCTGCACCTTTCACTCTTTTAACTTTTTTAAACTTTGTATTAGTTTCAATTGGGCTTTTTTTATCGTTTAATGACCCCATAATCCCTTGCATCGGGGTGGAGTCTGGGCAACTGAATGGAGCTGAGTGTTTACTGGCCAGATGCCCTTCCTGTCACCAATACTGAGTTATATTTAGCAGATATATTCTCAGTGTGCCCAAAGAGAGAAATACCAGTCTGTACCTAGGATTGAACTCACAGCCTCCTGATTATGAGGCAAGAGCTTCACCACCAAGCTACTGCACCACTCATTAGTTTTAATCATATTTAATCATACTTTTTCATAAAGTTACTATTAAAAAGGAGCACTGAACTTTCAGCAGAGCTGCTAATGCCTCTCACCTGCTTGGTATCTGTATTTGCAGTGCTGAGGAGCAGCTCCCTGGCTCTTTCCAAAGGACGGAAGTCCCTCCCTTCGTAGAAAGACAGAGAGAAACTGGGGCAGAAGTGGGTCAGCTGAAATCTTTCCCTTGTAGCGCTATTTAGGCTCATGTGCCGAACGTGCTGTTCTATTTCTGGCTAAGCTACTGTCAGAGATGCCCCAGTCCGATTCCTTAGGAAAGAAAAACCTTCGACTCCATTGGGTTAAAGCAAAGGGTTCTTTTATACTAAGAATGTTGGTTGCAGTAAAACCAAGCCAGCTCTGAAATCTACCGTGCAAAAATAAGTTGTAGGTGTCAACTCATAAAACATTCCTATGCCTGTTTTGAGTTGCCATAAACAGGGTGGGGATGGGGAATCTGAAGGAGCGTTACTGCCGTTTAAAACCAGAAGCACATTCCACCCTTATCTACAAAGAGTGTAGCTTGGCTACCAGATCTTCTGCCCATGAAAATCCTTAATTGGGGAATCCGATTGATGATACACCCAAGGGGGAGGGGAGAAGCCAGGGTCACAGGTGACTGTGAATTAGCATGCCAGAGTTGGCTTGGTTTAGGCTACTGCCGGGCATGTTGCTCCTAAATCTTCTGAATTTTTTGGAAGCTTGGTTCGAGGCTCATGGTTTAATTATGGCAACCGTGGGAACCCTGACAGCAGGTTTGCCCCCATCCCATCCCTCCCCCCGTGACCAGTCCATTTCCAGCCAGTCGGAGCTCGCCAAGATATTTGGAGAACTCCGAGGCGTTTGTGGGTAAGCTGCACATTTCTCCGGGTGCCTGGCCATGGGATACTGGTACAAATAGCATCCGGCTACTCTGGTCCTTCTCGCCTGTCATTCCCCGCCTCCCAATTTCCTATCATGTACACACAAAGATTTATTGTCCTTTCATCCTTCGCCTGCTTCTTCATTTGATGGCGGGATGCCTGTGAAGGGCCAAGCTGAAGCAGTCAGAGCTGACAGCAACTTTATGCAAAGCACAGAAGGAAGAGTGGGAAGCCCAGGGCTGAAGAAATGAAAGGCAAAAAAGGAAAGGAAAGGAAATAGAGCTCAAACTATTTTATACCAGCACCGTTCACCATATTCAACCACCTTTCTTCTACCACGTGGAGACTCCCCTTCATGTGTTGTCTTCTCCTCAGGATTTCAACTCACCAGGCCCACCATGACTTTGCCATTCTTCTCCTTCCTCTTGGCCCATTCGCCCTCCCTTCTATGAGCCTCGGTGGTGCAGTGGTTAGAGTGCAGTAGTGTAGGCTACTTCTGCTGACTGCCAGCTGCCTGCAGTTCAAATCCCACCAGGTTCAAGGTTGACTCAGCCTTCCAGCCTTCCGAGGTGGGTAAAATGAGGACCCAGATTGTTGGCTGACTCTGTAAACCGCTGAGAGAGGGCTGGAAAGCACTAGATAAATCTAAGGGCCATTGCTAGGTCTTCGGATGTGGCATGGCATGATTAGCCTCTTTATGGCAGTAGGAAGCCATATAGATATGGAGGTTTTCTCATTGCAGTGCCCAGAAACGAAAGCCATATGGCAGCCAGTGCTCCCAAATGTAGATTCTGGGGTTTTTTTTCTGTCCGTTCAGAGTCAAAGGAAACTCAGCCCTTCCCTTCACGGCCTTGAGAAGCACTTGATGGGTGTAGACCTATTGAAACCCTCTTGCTTGTACTTGGTTCCTCCCCATCACCTCCACTCTTTCTGCCACCCACACTTGCTGAGTAGTCCTTTGTGCTCCCTTGGTGGTTTTCCTGCAGACATTTCATCACCCAAGCTAGGTAACATCATCAGTGCAACCGGGCACAGAGAGCACAAAGGAGCTGTCAATTCAACCCTGGGCTACAAATATTCTCCTCTGCCGGTACTTTCTGAGTAGTCCATTCGGCTTCTCTGTTCTTCCTGACAGGTGCCCCTCTTCCCTATAGCAGAGTCCCTGGATGGTGAGATGGCAGCTGTTTAAATAGGACACATAAACAAACAGGCAGGCATGCGCTCTTGCCCCATTGGTACAGCCGGTGATGCTTCTTTCAGCAGAGTCTTGCACCTCCACCTGGGCCATTCCACTAACGTTTATTTCATCATCATCCTCTTTTAACAACCCCATAATCCCTTGCATTGGGGTGGAGTCTGGGCAACTGAATGGAGCCGAGTGTTTACTGGCCAGATGCCCTTCCTGTCGCCAGCGCAGAGTTTTATTCAGCAGATATATTCTTAGTGTGCCCAGAGAGAGCAATATCTGCCTCTACCTAGGACCAAACTTACTTTGCCTGCTTTAAAATTGCTTTCCCCAGAGAAACTGAGAAGCCCAAATCCCACAAGGCCTGGTGCTTCATAATGTGCTTCCATGCTATTTCAATTCTGGGGCTGGTTAATGCCATTTTTGGTCCTGGATTCCTAGGCCAGCAGCCCCCCAGTAGCCTTCCGTCTCCTCAACTTGCAGAATAAAGAGGGTCTCCAGTCTCCCCCCCACTGAACTTCTGAATCAGCCAAGCCCAAAGGGCATCAGGGCAAAGCCTGCGTCTCTTCCAGGGCCGGAGGGTTTTCTCCAGTTCTCTAGCAGAACGGAAGACGCCGGCCCAGACACTCTGCCGGTTTGTGGTCCTGGAGCTCTGTGGCTCCACATAAGTCAACATCTCTGCAGCTCGGGCTCTTTCGAAATTTTATTAAGATTTGCCGGGTTAATCTTCAAGCAAGTAAAGCTTGTGACGCAGCTTGCCTTAATTCCACTCAGTGCCTTTTATGTGATCCATTTTTCTTACTAAAAAAACCCCATAATTTTTTAAATGTCATAATTGATGCTCAGCTGCTCCTTGGAAACGGTCGAGTGAATGTTGCAATCCCCTCTGCAAACCCATTTGCACGCGAGGAATTAGAAGTGGCTAATTAGAGCATAATTATAATGTAGCATGTCAGTTCCCTTCATCCGTCAGTGGAAAGCACGTGCGCTTTTCATACAGTTATGATGCTGCTCAGAGGTAGAAAATAGAAGAACCATCTGTGCTGCTCGACAGCCGACCCATCTCTGGGGCAGACCAGGCTGGGGCAACCGTCCTCACTCGCTCGTTGGTCTTCCGGCTTGAAAATCCTCTCTGTCTCTGACAAATTTCCACTGCAACCTGCCATTTAATTTATCTCATGTTCAGATCAAACCTTAAATTGTGAAAACAAGCCCACCCTTTTGGCTTTATCGTTGGCCAGAAAGAAATCACTTTTGGCGCATTCTACTGGTAGTAATCAACAGACCAACACATTGGCCAGGCTCTGCATCCTTCACATCCGCATGGTGTTCCGTTATCCACAGCAACCTCCCTTGAGCATATTATAGTCACACTTAGGCCCACCCACCCTCAGCCTCTTCTTGGTCTTCCAAGTGTCACAGGTCAGATCCCTCATCCAGGTTCTCTTGGGGGATTACGGGGACCTGCTGCTGCTTTGCCTTCTCTGCCGCTCGCTCTCCTTTTGGGAGGGTGTCAGGGTCACGATGTAAGAGCTGACCAGCAGCTGCGATAATGCAATGCTGGGAATGAGTCAGCAAGGTTTGGGGGCTGATACCACTTTAAGAGCTTGTAATAAGAAGAGGCCCAGTTGTGGTGTGTTCCGTGCGTGCTTCATTGCTGCAATTGCTCATTGCTGTTTGTTTGAGGTTTGACTAAAGTACGTATATGTATATATTCTTTGCAGATAAAACCACTATTTAAATACAAACCCCTGTTTGCTTCTATTTGCTGCTGGGTTGTCCCACATAGACACACCCTGCGCACTCCGACAGGGGGTTTAAAAGAACTTGGATTTGTTTCTTTGGAATTCCAAATACCCACGAGGGGGCGCTGTCAGGCAAATACAATTTAATGCGAACCAGTTGATTAAGTCTGCCTCTTTTCTGGAGATAATTTTGGGCATCTTATTGGTGCCGTTGTCAAGAAAGGTATCAAGTCTTATCAAAAACATTTGTGGTAGAATCCTGCGACTACTGTCTACCGAAGATGTTTCGTTCCCAGTGTCAGAAGAGGGGTTCTGTCTAAATGACACAAGTGTCTCTCTTAAGTTCCCAAGCGCTGCGTTTCCCGACCCACAGCAGAAATGGCAAAGGGACAGAGAAGCATTTCTGGGGTGTATTTCAGGGGCGGTCAGGATACCGAGGATCTCGCGGGGAGAGCTGTGGGGACGAGAGCCGTTTGGCTGGCAGGAGGCGGGACTGATCCCAGCTGCTCCTGGTTCATCCCATTTCCACCTTTCCTTGACCGCCTAGTGCAGAGGGCTGGGTCAGCATTGTAGTTCTTCTCCGCAGGCCGGTTGGGGGCGGGGGAGACAGGACGGACGCCTCTTGCAGCAGCACCCTGCTAGCCAAAACGGGGCAGGGGGGACCCCTCGTGGACTGGTCCTTTGTTATTTCCAGGCTGGCCCGTGGGCCACAGGTGGGATCCGGCCCACAGGCCTTGAGTTTGACACCCCTGATCTCGTGTCAAAGATCTGCTCTGACCAGCGCTGAATAAATCCTGCTCATCATACGTTGCTCCTTCCACAGGACTCTCCTTCCTGGCTTAGACTGGGGGATGAGGGGAAGCATCTGCTTGATATGAGCCAACTCCTTTTGCCACGGCTCCCAAGCTTCTCTCATGCTTGTTGCTTCCCACAGTGGATGCGCTCTGATGATTTGCAGGCCACAGCCTGCTCGCCGAGCACCACGGACGTCATGCTGCAAGAAGGGGCTCCTTGTTCTTCGGTAGCCCAAACCAGGAGTGGACACCAGCCGGACGTGGTCCCAGATAAATCTGGCCCAGAATTGAATTGCATTTCAAAGCCTGCAATTCGGATACAATCTGGATTTGTCCCAAATTTGGGCTTCTTTCTACCGAAAGCCTTCGTGGTTTAGTTCATTAGGACTTTAAATTAGAACAGACTTCTGATTGCATGGAGAGAATTTATCACAGTTTTAATTTCATTTAGCAATTCAAGTTGTACAATCTGCTGCTCCTCACATTTGTATTCTGCCTAGAATCAAAGAGGCATTTTAGGGTTTTTTTAAATAGGCAGTATAAAAATATATGCATATAAAAGAATATCTGCAATTACTTAATGAAATATCGAAAATCCAAGGATACTTCAAATCTTTTAAAACCCCTCCTTTATTCAGCCGATTCTATTTTTTTCTACTGCTTTATCCTCCTTGGGTTTTTTTCCCCGCCTTTTCTGTTTATATCTTTTCTCATATGGTGTTCAGCAAAATGTAGTTTTGAAACTCAGCCAAAGGCAAAGAAAGGGGAAAAGCCAGTCCATTTCTTAGGAGCTGTGGCCTGCCAGGGGCTGGGTGGGACCCGGGGGTCAGGGGTTGTGGCATCCAAGCAGGCAGACAGCGCAGGTCTGGGGGGAGCACAGGTGAGATCTTTCTGCCCAGGGTGACCCTCACTGCTGCAGTCAGGTGGGTCCTGGGGCAGGAGAGCCACATGGGCCGCTTGGCCTTGGACAGTCTGTCCTCAACCGCTAGAGAGGGTTGCTGTTCCAGGGGTGTCAAACTCGATTTCATTGAGGGCCACATCAGGGTTGTGCTTGATCTCAGGGGGCCGGGGTGGTGTGGGGGTGGTCGGGGGCTTGGCAAGAGTGGGCATGGCTAGCTCGAAGTCACTCGTTGAGGCTCCATGTCAACTCATAAAATATTTCTATGCTCTTTTTAGAGTTGCCAACAGAAAGGGAGGGGGGAGCAGTGCGGCAGCTTGCAAATGGAAAGTGCATTCCATAAATGCTTTCAAAGATAGTTTCTAGGTGACTGAAGTTTCTGCCGCGCAAATATCTAACTGGAGAGCCTGATTGATGACTCTGGGCTATGGAGGTGTCTCATTGGAGAATATGAATTACGATACACCCAGGGAATGGGGGAAAACCAGGGTCAAGGGTGACAATGAATGATGTGTCTCAGAGTCGGCTACACCCAGGCAGTGCCGGACATGTTAACTCCCAATAAATCCTTCTGAAGTTTTGGGAGTTTGGCTTGAGACTCATGATTTAAATGGGGGTAACTGCCGGAATCCTGACCGCTAGCCGAGACATCTTGACACTCCGTTTTCCTGCCTCCGGCAGCCCTGTGCCAGCGAAAACGGAGTGCGCAGCTGTCGTGGCCAAAAACGGAGCCCTGGAGGGCCTTGCATGCCCCCCACGAGCTCCGTTTCCATTGTCAGAGGCCCCACAGGCTGACCCTTCGCTGCTTCCAGGGTGGCTACATGGGCCGGATCTAAGCACCCTGCGGACCGGATCCAGCCCCAGGCCTTGAGTTGGACACCCCTGGTCCAGGCGGACATTGGAGATGGGGGTGGGGTCAGAGACAAGGGTGGGCTTCAGGTCTCTCCTTTGTTGCTCTCCTTTCAAGGAATGTACCCTGAAGGTCCAGGAGGGGAAATTCAAGCTCCAAGATCTGCTGGTGGTGCCGATGCAGAGAGTCCTGAAGTATCACCTCCTGCTCAAAGTGAGTCCTTTCCCACCTTCCAGAGGGATGGAAAACGCAGGCACATTTCTGGAGTGGGCAGGTGGGCTTCAGTCAGTCAGAGCATCCCAGGTCAGGATTACAGAACTGGAAGGGGTCTTGGAGGTCTTCTAGTCCACCCCCACACCCACCACCCCCGCTTGAGCAGGAGACCTTATACCAGACAAATGGGTCTTCAATCATCATCATCCTTTAATGACCCCATAATCCCTTGCATTGGGGTGGAGTCTGGGCAACTGAATGGAGCTAGCAGAGCGTTTAATGGCCTGATGCCCTTCCTGTCACCAATACGGAGTTTTGTTCAGCAGATATATTCTCATTGTGCCCAGATCTACAGGAATCTGGATCTCTACCTAGGATCGAACTCACAGCCTTCTGATTGAGAGGCGAGCAGAGGTGGGATTCTACCAGTTCCGTACACTTCTGTAGAACCGGTTGCTCTGAAAAGCAGCAAACAGAAAGCATACATAGAACCGGTTTTAAGCCTGCTGCTGTTTTGGCCCACCCACCAGTCTGGGCTCTTACCTGACCTCTGTTTCCTTTGCGCGACACAGCTGTGGTTGAAAAAGCAGGAAAAAATGCTTTTTCAACCACTGTGCACCCGCGCGCAATGCTGCTCAGCCGTCCAGGCAGCTAGCTGATGACGATACACACGTGCACGCAGCGCATTACCGAACCGGTAGTTACCCCGGTTGGATCCCAGCCCTGGAGGCGAGAGCTCCACTTCTAGGCCACCGCACCACTCAGAAATGGCACGCCAGTCTTTGCTTAAAAACCTCCAGCGATTGAGCAGCCACAACTTTGGGAAGCCATTCCACTGGTGGATTGTTCTTAATGTCAGGAAGTTCTCGATTGGATCTCTATTTGATGAGTTGCCACCTGTTGCTCCTTGTCCTGCCTTCAGATGCTTTGGAAAATGGGAGCTGCAGCAGACTGCTGGCTCATCCCGAACTAGGTATCCACCAGGACACCTAGATTGCCCTCAGAGTTACTATTGTTGAGCTAGGTTCTGTACCTGTGTTAAAACCTGAACATTTCTCACCACTGAAATGCATTTTGTTGGGTAGGGCCCAGTGTTCAAATCTGTCAAGATCCCTCTGTATTTTGAGCCTTTATCTTCTGGAGTGTTGGCGATTCCTGCCAGCTTGGTGTCATCTGTAGATTTGATGGCTTCCTTTTCTATCTAAATCATTTATGAAGATCAATATCAAGAGTATTGGGCCTAGGGCAGAACCTTGGGAACCCCACTGCTTCCTTCTCTCCATGTCGATAGATGTAGCCCCATTAAGGAGTACATGCCGAGTGCCGTTGGTCTACCAGTTAAGAATCCATCTGGTGTTGATGCTGTCTATCCCACAGTTTTAGACCTTGCCAAGAAGTAGGCTGCGGTCTGCTTTGTCAAACGCCTCACTGAAGTCCAAGTAAATTATGTAGACATCGTTCTGCTGGTCACTTCGTCATTTTGTCAAAGAATGCACTCATGTTTGTCTGGCATGATCTGGTTTTGGCTCCTACAACATAACAGATTGGGACTTCTCCTCAATGCCGACTCCAGTTGGGTTGGTAGAACCAAGAGCCAGGCCCAGGCTGCCCATGTGCCTCCTGGAGCCCAGATGAGATCCGGAGGCTCTGCATCGGGTGCGGGGAGAGCTGCACCTCAGGCCAAGGGGCAGGTGTGCCCAGCTGACCAGGGAGTCTTTCAGACAACTTCAGCGTGGGCCGCCTCTGCCTCTGCTTGTGCCCCCTTGCCCAGGATTCTCCCCTGTGCAAAGGCTTTTGGTTCCACCCAGAAATTAATAATGCAGTTATTCTCACAAACCTTGATTAATTCTGGCATGTTTGTTCAAGCTTAGACCAAATCATCTGATTCTGCATGGGTTGTGTCCCCCCCCCCCCGCCCCCGCCTGCCAGCCATTATTCTTGGGACAAGCAACTCCAACCCTTGCCCCAAAGGTGCTTTTTTCAAGAGGCAACTTGACTTCCTGTTTTTTCTGTGAAGACGTTTCACTTCTCATCCAAGAAGCTTCCTCAGCTCTGACTGGATGGTGGGGAATGGAAGGATTTATACTCCTTGCAGACAGCTGGTCATTTGAATCCTTTGAGAGGGTCGTTGAGGCAGCTTGGAGGTTTATCTGTGTCCTGAGGGTCACCTGAGTGGAGCAAATGGGTGTGGAGCCTTCTTGGAACTGTTGTAGACTGGAGATAGATGATGGCATATCCCTCCCCCTCTGTTGCACCACTCAGGTGACCCTGACAACACAGATAAACCTCCAGGTGACCACAGTGACTCTCTAAAAAGGATGCAAATGACCAGCTGTCCGCAAGGAATATAAATCCTTCCATTCCCCACTTTTTCTTGGACGAGAAGCGAAACGTCTTGAAAGAAAAACAAGGAAGCCCAGTTGCCAGTTAGAAAAAGCCCCTTTTGGGACAACCCTGACCTGGGTGGCTGAGGACTCCATAGACAGCTCCATCCCTTGTTTCTTGGCAGGGCCTCTCCTGCCACCTCCTCCAGTGGCCTTGAACCCCTCGTATGGCGAGGTGGAGCAGGAAGCAGCCAGGCATACAGTAACCCAGGATGATGGTTTGTCTTCTAGGAGCTGCTCAGCCACTCGTCCGACCGGCCAGAGAAGCAGCAGCTGAAGGAAGCATTGGAGGCCATGCAGGTGGGGTCCCGTGGAAGGTCTTTGGGGGGTGGGGGCACATGGCCTGGTCTCAGAGAAAGGACTGCTCCCCAAGCCCCGCCCTTCACCCCAGCTTTGCTCAGCCTGGCTTGGCTGTGCTCTGCTTCTGACCCCTCGGGGGGGCGGGGGGGATGGCACAGGCGCCCTGATGCTGTCCGGCCAAGTAGGCTGAGCCCAGAAGCAGACCTGTCTTTCTGCTCTCGGAGCGGATCCTTGCCTGGCGCTTTCGGCTTGCGATGCCACTGACTGGCCCGCTTCTTCGCCTTTCAGGACTTGGCCATGTTCATCAATGAAGTCAAACGGGACAAAGAAACCTTGAAGAAAATAAGCGAATTCCAGAGCTCCATCGAAAACCTGGTAAGGGCAAAGGAGCCGCGTGGGCTCTGAGTGACAAGAGAGCCCCCCCCCCCCCCCGTCCCCTGTCCACTCCGGAAGCCCCGGTGGTTCTGGCCGTCCCGGTGGCTCCTCGGTCAAGAGATTGGGCCTCCCGTAATGGCTGCTGTGGCGATTGCAAACCACCTTAGCCAGCCGAAGGGCACCGACGGTGCCAACCGGAGCAGGCTCCGCTCTGGGCTGTGCAACAAGGGGCCTAGCGCTGCCCCATTGAGGGAGGGTCACAGCTTTTGAGCGAGGGCTTTGATGCCTGAGACCCTGGCAGGCCAAAAGGGATCGCTGGGCTCAAGACAGGTGGGCCTGGGAGGATGCCTGGGGGGGGGGGGGAACACCCAAGAGGAAAGGGGACACCAACCCTCCCTCTGGTCTCGCCCAGATGTTAGTTTGCCTGCTCACAGGTCCCCAGACCTGGATCCCACCCAGGAAGGGCCTTCACTGCCATCTAACCCCCAAAGTGCCCAGTTTCCCCCCTCTGGCAGCTGAGGGGCCACTTTGGAGCCTTCGGGGTTAGTGGGGATGTGGCCCTTTTAACCTGTGTCCCCTTTTCCCACAGCCGGTGAAGCTGGAAGAGTACGGGCGGCCAAAGATCGACGGGGAGCTGAAGGTCCGGTCCATCATCAACCACACGAAGCAGGATCGGTGAGTCAGCCAAGCAGGAAAAGCCGCCTCTGGGGCCCCTGGCTGAGCAGAGACCCCTGAGGGCCACACTGGTGCGGGTGGCTGAGTTCCCAGGACACGCTGGGTTGAGCGGGTTGCCTTCCAGAGGCAGGACCCCCGCCCATGGCAGCCCATTCAGCAAACCAGGGAGGGTTAGCATCATGTATGAAGGCAATGTCCCTTCCTTCCTTCCTTCCTCCCTTCCTTCCTTCTCTCCTTCCCTCCCTCCTTCCTTCCCTCCCTTCCTTCCTTCCTTCCTTCCTTCCTTCTCTCCTTCCCTCTCTCCTTCCCTGCTTTTCATCTTTTTTCTTTCTCTTTCTCCTCCCTTCTTCTTCCCTCCCTCCTTCCCTCCCTCCCTTTCTCTTTCCTTCCTCCCTCTTTCCCTCTTTCTCATCTTTTTTTCCTTCTCTTTCTCCTCCCTCCCTCCCTTCCTCCCTTCCCCTCCCCCAGTCCTGGCAGATGCAGATTCCACTTTTGCGTGCACTTGCCCCCTGGGTTCCAGCACCCAGAGTGGGGAGGGTCCAGCTCCCCTTGTGCCAGGCCCTCCTGTCCTCTCCTTCCCCAGGACCCCCTTTCCCTGCTAGGGAGCAAGGCAAGGGAGCCTCCGCAGGGCTGTCCTTATCTGCCAGAGGAGGAGCCCACCTGTCGGCCCCTTCAGCGACTGCCCTCCTCCTGGAAGTGGGTTCAAGTTGGGGGCTTGAGGAGACGGACCCTCTGCCTCCCCTCCCTGCATTAACAGGGAAGAGCCTGGCCTTGGCTCATCTCTCTGCCCCCCCCCCCATAAAAAGCTGGACTAAGGCAAAAGGCTGGCACTTCCTGGACTCCCCGTGACGGCTGCCCTTGGCACCAGCCATGTGCCAAGGCCCGCGGGCATTCCCGGCCCTGCCCTGAGCCCCATGGCAGGTGGTGGAAGTGGCTTTCAAAGGGGCCCCAGGAAGAGATGGGGAGGAGGGCTTTGGGGGGGTCTGGACTCCCAGGGAGCCAATTGCAACTTCTTGGGGCCAGAACCTGGCCACACTGGCCAGAGAGGATCAATCCCCTGGACCAAGGCCTCCAGTTGGGACATCTAGGCCCAAGCTGCCCCTCTTTGGCTGGCCTGGTTCTCCGAGGAAGAGAGGGGAGAGGGTGGGAGCCCCTCCCCCAAGGCCTGAGGGAGAGGAAATGTGCAGGCGTGGTTGCTGAGGTTTCCTCTTCTGATTCTGGGACAGGTATTTGTTTTTGTTTGATAAAGTGGTGATTGTCTGCAAAAGGAAAGGCTACAGCTACGAGCAGAAAGACATCCTGGAGCTGCTCTGCTACAAGATGACCGATGACCCCACCAACAACAAGGACCTCAAGAAGGTGGGCGCCGCCCTCCCCTCCCCCTCTTCTTCTCCCTTCCCTTCGTGGCCAGGAGGGGGAGCTCTAGCCACCAGAAGCACATTTGGCGCCCCAAAAGGACTGGGGTGCTCAGGCTGCCCAGGGGCTGGAGGCCGTTGACTTCCCCAGGGGGCAGGGGGTGTCCTGCTGCGTGGGCCCTTTAGAGAAATCACAGTTCCATCACTGGGGGGGGGGGAGGAGGGGGGTTGCCGGGATGCCCGTGTCCTTTGGCAAAGGCCCGCCTCGTGCCCATTCGCCACAAGGAGAAACCTCTTTTCCGGTCAGCTGCCAACAAGGGTTCCCACGTGGAGAGTAGCTGCTTGGAGCGACGTGTGGGTGGACGACGGGGGGCTCAGGAAACGCAGCCCCCCCTTTTTGCCTCTGCATGAAGGAACCCCTGTTTTTCTAGGGGGGCTTAGTGGGTGGAACCCCCGCCCCGCACGCTCTGGAGGTGCAGACCCAGAAAGAGGGCCCTCCCACTCACTCCCTGAACCTCTGGCCCACACGGGGGCTGTGGGGATGGGGAGGAAGGGTGCCCCTTGTTTTAGAGTCTGAACAGGTGGGATTTGGAGCTTGTGGTAACCAACTGTGTCTCCCCTTCGCTTCCTTTTTGCTTCTCAGTCGCATGGGAAAATGGTGAGCTGTCTCTACCGATTCTGACTCTCTTTGCCTTTTGCTGCTGCTGCTGCATCTGTAATAATCCTGGATGAGGCTGAATGGGCATCGTCCAGGGGGCTGCATGGGGGGGGGGGGGGCTGCAGTTAGTGCAGGAAGGCTTACAAGCAGCCCTGTGAGGTGGGCCTGCCTGACAAGGGCGAGTGGAGCAGAGAGGGCGAGGCAGCCTCCTCCTGGGCTCCTGGCGGCCTCTTTCATGCTGCTGGCAAAGAGAAGGGAGACGCACCCTGCCAGCCTCTGCGTCTGCCCTCCCAGAGCCAGCCCCGAATTCCCAGTCCTTGTGGCCCGGAACGGAGGGCAGCCGGCCAAGCTGGATGCCTCGGGTGCTGTGCCTCGGCCACCCAAGGGTGGGGCAATGGCTTCCACACCCCGGCCCTCCCTGGCCTGCACCGGCCTTGGGTTTCTCCTGCCTCTGCGCCCGGCTCCACCCTCTGCCTCTCCCTTTCCCCACAGTGGTCTTACGGCTTCTACCTCACTCACCTTCAAGGCAAGCAAGGGTTCCAGTTCTTTTGCAAGACAGAAGAGATGAAACGGAAGTGGATGGAGCAGTTCGAAATGGCCATGTGAGTGTCCGGGCCCGGGCCGAAAGGCTGAATGGTCAAGAAGCCGGCAGGCATGGCCGGCTCCGGCTGGCAGTCTGACCCAGGCGTTGGCACCGGGGATGCGTGGGCAGGACTAAGTTGGGCCGTGTGGCCTGGCCCTGAGCCTCAAAGGGGCCCCTCTTCACACGACCTGAACTGAGCGGGGCTCTTTTTCTTTGCCCAGATCCAACATCAAGCCCGAGAAAGCCACGGCGAACAACCACCAGTTCCAGATGTTCACCTTTGACAAGACCACCAACTGCAAAGCCTGCAAGATGTTTCTAAGGTGAGTGTTCTTCCTTCTCCAGGCACCCACAGACTCCTCCGATGGTGCTGCTCATTTTGCTGGAAAGCGGCAGGATTACGAAAAGGCCACAGGCCGCCGCAGTGCCACAGGCAGCCATGCAGCCATGCAGCTCTGGGGCTTCTAGGCACACCGAAGCAGGGCTGCCCTATGGCAAACGGCACCTGCTTTGGAGCCCACCTCTTCCGGGGCCCCACCAGCAGCTCCCCGAATGCAAAGCACCCTGGATTGCTGGTCAGGGTCCATGATGGCCACAGCTCTGCCACCTTCCAAGAGCCACGCCTGTGGGGGCTGCCACGGAAGTGGTTTTCAGTGCCAAGCGGAGAGTTTCTGCCTGGATTCTCCCCTCCACCCGAGAAATCGGGTGGGCCTCCCATGCGCTCAGGTTCGAGGGGGGGTCTCCGCACTCTGATGTCACGAGCCTGTTCCCAGGGTGGCCAGCATGCTAAGCCCAGGGCAGGGGATGCAGGCAAGGACCAGCTGGGGGGCAGCAGGAGGGTTGGGGGGGAAATGTGGCCGTTGAAAGTTTGAGGACCAGTCCTGTCCGGCTTTTTTCACTGCCGTTGTAACTTTGATTAACCGGCATTCATCAAGGCCTGCCTGCCTATTTAAATGACCCAGAGCTGGAAGGGATTTGGGGGAACCACCTGCTCCAGCCCAGTGCGTTCCCTCGGCCCCTCTCCCTCTAAATGCCCAGTGGGGGTATTTCTGCCCAGGACCCTTCATGGGCTGGTGAGAGTGCGATAGCCAAGCCCGGTGTGGGGACTGGCAAGGCCCCTCATGCAGAGCCAAAGTGCCCCAGGATACAGACCCCCCAGGTGACTTCTCACCTGGCACCCAGTGGGGTTGAAGGCCACCCTCCAGCCATTTGAACTTAGGCAGACGGGGGGGGAGGGGCAGAGCAACCCAGAAAACGGCTTTGTTTGGTAGCCGCTTGGGGCGAGGTCAGCCGTGACCCAGCAGGGCGGTTCCAAGAGGTGGCAGCAGCGGCTCAGGGCTTTCTTCCCTGGCTGGCCTGAATGGAGTGTCTCCTTCTTGGTTCTGGGCCCCCAGTGTCACGGCTGCCTTCGATGGGGGTGGGCTCCGCCCCCACCCCGGAAGCGGGGGGGGGGGGGTGGCTTCCCTGCGTCTGAGGAGAGGTGCCTTCCGGTATCAGGGAGCCTCCCTTGGGCCTGCTCCATGGGGCTCCCCGGGGGTGCAACCTGCTGGACGGAGGGTGCCCCCCCAGGGTTCAGCTCTAGGCAGGCATGCTGGGCTAGCAGCCTCTCTTTCCACAGGGGAACCTTCTACCAAGGCTACCAGTGCCTGAAGTGCAAGGCGGGCGCCCACAAGGAGTGCCTGGAGGTCATCCCACCCTGTAAATTCAGTAAGTGATCCACGCATACGGCGGCCTCCTCCCCATCATATCTTGCTGAACTGCCCTCTAGCCCAGGAAACAGGGCAGGGCTGTTGTCCTGGTGTCCCCAGGTGAAGCAGAGAGCCTGGGCTGACCACTCCACTGCCCCAGGAAAGTCGGGTGGGCCTTCCATGGGGACAGGCTGGGAGTGGTGCTCTCCAGCACACGCTTCCCTGCGATAAAAGGGGTGGTTCATGAGCCGCGGTGGCGCAGTGGTCAGAGTGCAGTACTGCAGGCTACTTCTGCTGACTGCCGACTGCCAGCAATTTGGCAGTTCAGATCTCCCCAGGCTCAAGGTTGACTCAGCCTTCCGTCCTTCCCAGGTGGGTAAAATGAGGAGCCAGATTGTTGGGGGCAAAAGGCTGACTCTGTAAACCGCTTAGGGGGGGCTGGAAAGCACTGTGAAGTGGTATATAAGTGTTATTGCTAAGTGAGAAGGGAGGGGAGGCGGGTGGGAGGCAGATGAAGGAAGGATGGATGGATGGATGGATGGATGGAAGGAAGGAAGGAAGGGTGGGTGGGTGGGCAGTGGTGTCACAGTGTTGGAATGCAATATTGCAGCCTAATTCTTTTCACTGTCAGGAGTTTGATCCTGACTGGCTCAAGGTTGACTCAGCCTTCCATGGGTAAAATGAGGACCCAGATTGTTGGGGACAAGAGACTGATTCTGTAAACCGCTTAGAGAGGGGCTGTAAAGCGATATATAAATCTATTGCTATTGCTATTTGCTCCAATGGTTGCCTGTTGAGCCTGGTGCCCTGCATCTCGCGCGGGGCTGCTGCATCCCGAGAACTTGTCTCCGTGGGCTTCTTTCTCGGGGGCAGATAGAAGAGCTGAGCCCCCACCCCCAGACACCTTCCTTATTGGGGGTCCTCGTCAGCCTCTCACCTGTCCCAGAAGGGCAGAGCAGCTGTGGAGACACGTCCCTTCTGCAGCTGGTTGGAGAATGTTGCATGTCATAAATTGTTTTGAAAAATACGTTTTGCCCTCCTGTAACACCTCCATCATTTAACAAACATCTTTGTAACTGGAAGGACGGTCTAATCATTGAAGGTGGGACAAGAGGCGAGGAAGGGGAAAGAATTTGGAATAGCAAGAAATGAGCAGGGGGGATCCAGGTAGTCTTGAGATCTGCACGCACAAACTCACCAGCGGAGCTGCTCCTCTTAGGTGGCTTCTCCATTAACCTGCCACTTTTTATCGTTGCCTTCTAGGTTCTCCTGCTGAGCAGGTAAGAAATGTGGATTTTCTTCCTTCTTCTCTGGGGAGGGACACGGGGAGCAAAGTGCCAGGCGAAGACACCGGGGTCACCTTTCACCCAGGCCCCTCCCCCCCTTTCCTTAGAGGGGAGGCTGAGGTCTTGGTTGGTCCTGAGACCAACCCTTTTCTTCCCCGATTTGAATGCCGGTGTGTGTGTGTGTGTGTGTGTGTGTGTGTGTGTGTGTGTGTGTGTGTTGCAGCTCAGAATCCAAACTGTTGCATCTCTGCAAGGCCTTTGCTGGCGGGGGGGCCTTGGGTGGGTGGGGGTCCGTTCTAAGAGCAAGAATATATTGTAGTGTGGACAAAAAGGCTCCAGGAGACTGAAACATCTGTCTTTTTATTTCTGAACAGGAATCGCTGAATCTAGGTAAGCCTCCTCCTCTTCCTCCTCTTCTTCCTCCTCCTCTTCCTACTCCAAGACTGTAGCCAGGCAGCTTCCTGGTTGGCGCTTAAGAACAAAATCTGGGTTTAATAGTAGAAAAGTTTCGGTCAGAACCAGGGTGATTGCGAAATATGGTAGGCAGAGATGCCCGCGTGGTTGCAGCTGCCCCGGGGGCCACCTGGGGGCCTGGATATCTCCTCACAGGCATGTCGACCGGCTGCTCCCCGCCAAGCAGTAAACAGGGAGAAGCAGAGCAGGTGCCTGGGCATCACAGTGCAGAAGGCAGGATGGGGAAAGGGGCGGGTAAGCAAGCCGCTACTTTCTGTGGCAGGCAAAGGTAGGCCTGCCAGGGCCGTGCAGATGCCTCTCCCTTGGCATGCTGGCACTGCTACCCAGCCGGATGCACCCCAGGGAAAGACTTCAGAAGGACAGCAGCTCTTACTTGCCTGTTGGAAAATCCTCCTCCTCCTCTTTTCATGATCCCTTGTGGGGTGGAGTCTGGGCAACTGAATGGAGATGAGTGTTGACTGGCCGGATGCCCTTCCTGTTGCCAGTACAGAGTTTTGTTCAGCAGATACATTCTCATCGTGCCCAGAGAGAGAAATATCTGCCTCTGCCTAGGATCGAACTCACAGCCTCCTGATTATGAGGAGAGAGCTCCACCTCATCCCCCACTTGCCTGTAGAAAATGTGCCCCTTAAATCAAAAAGCAGTTTGTCCCTTTGAAGGTTTGTGCTGGTGGCGTGAGACGTCCCTGTAAGGGCGGTAGGGACTAGTGCGGCAGATGAAGCCAACCGCCCACCCACCCGCCCCCCTTCCAAATCCTGTGGTTGGCTGACCTCTTCCACCTTACATTATTTCATTATTTTAATAAGCTGCCTAGAAAAACGGTAAGGGAGAGCAGACGTTAAATTAAAAAAATCAAGTTCATTGTGCACCTTCTGCAGCCAGCAATTTGCCAGTTGGCCCACCTGAGCTTTCCCCCCCCCAAAAAAAAAGTCTTTAGTTAAGTCTACTCCAAGCGCAGGGGGGCGGCAGCTGCTCCCAGGTGGAAGCTCTCCTTTAAGCAACCTTTTTGTTCAAAGAGCCAAAAAGTGACAGTGGACGCTCTTGAGCACTTGTTCAGGAAGAGCTGGATCCCCAGGCGGATTCTTGGGGAGCTGAAGGCCTGCACTCTGCCCCTTCCCCGTGGCCCCTGCCCAGAAATCGGCAGCTCAGGGCAAGGTGGGCCCGCCTTTTGCCCTGGGCGCTGGGCACCTCCTGCAGGGGGGCGTCGAGGGGCCCGGAAGTCGGAAGCCCCTCTGAGCAGAGCAACAGAGTTGGAAGGGATCTTAAGGCTCCCCCAGGTTGCCACCGCCTTGGCCGAGAGATCCACCCAGGCCCCTGCAAAGGTTTCTGCCTTCCTTTCTAGGCCCTAAAATGGTGGCCCTCCAGAATTACCATGGCAGCCCGGCTCCACCAGGGAAACCTGTGTTAACTTTCCAAATGGGCGAAGTGATTGAGCTGCTCCGAGGGGAACCGGATTCCCAGTGGTGGGAGGTGAGTGGATCCTCCAGGAATGGGCAGGAAGGACGAAACCTTCCCTGACGAAACCTTCCACGGAATTCAGCTTTGGGCCTGCCGGGCTTTTTATCTTGAAATTCTGTACGGGGGGGCGGGGGGGATGAGGAGACACTGGCTGGCTGGGATGGGCGCTGGGTTTATTCAATGGCCCCAGGATCTGGGACTCAGAACCCTTGGCCAGTCTGGGATCCTGCTCTGCCATCCGCCCATGGTGAACTCGGGAAGCCTGGCATCCTGGCTTGCGAGTCCAGCTAATCCTGTTTGCCGCACCAAATAGAAGGAAGCCTGGGCTGAGCCCCTTCCCCACGGCATCCAGGGTCGCTTCTGGGAGGAGGCCAGCAAGACCCGTTGGCTGAAGGAGTTCCACGCCCCAGGCTGTAGCTTAACCAGGTTGCAAACCCAAATCACGGTTGTGGGAACTCAGCCCTTAGCACACTTGCTGAGTCAGCCCATTGCATTAACACGTTCAACATTATAGAGACGGCATCATTGCGTCTTGTTGACTTGTGTTATGGCTGTCGTGTGAATCCTTGAGAGAGTGAAAGCCTCCTCACGCGGGAGAGAAGAAACAAACCTACATTCACGGAGGACAAAGGGAGTCCGTGATGTTGCTGCTTCTTTTATGCCCCTGCCGGGGTCTCCGCCCCACATGGCAGGATGGGCCAGTTCTGACCTGGCTCCCAAAACATGACAAACCCTCTGTAGTTACCTAATTGTTCCCTTTATTAAGAGGGCCAGAAGCCCTCGCAAAAAGTCTCTCTCTCACACACACAACAAGCTAACAAGTCTGGCTGGGAGATGAATAGTTGTCTGGCACGCCTATTCATCTCCGCCCCCCCGCCTTTGATCCCCAGAGCTAGTGGGAGCGCTTTGCTGGTAGTGGTGGCTCTTCCGGCCCGAGGACCGGCCCATAGATTTCCACTGCTCTCCTCTCCTCTGCCTTCTGTGCATCTGCACTTCAGGCACTGGACCCAGCGGTTCCTCCTCATCCTCATCCGCCACCCTCCAGACCTGGCGGCTGTTTATTCTCTAGTTGAGGGCTGATAGACAGCCCAGGCTCCACCTCTCTCTCTCTGATAGCTCCATTCCCACTTCCCCCTCGGAGCTCTCTGGGTTACCTTGATGCTGACCCCTCCTCCCCCTCCTCCTCCTCCGATTCAGCTGCTGGAGGGGATGGGGGCTGACAGGCCACAACAGGGCCCTTGTGTGAGGGACTCTTCTCTTTCTTCCAGGGGAGGCTCATCGTGTCCAAGAAATCTGGCTATTTCCCCAGCTCGTTGGTCAAGCCTTGCCCAGTGGACGCGCGGGTAAGAGTCCTGGAGGCAGGAGCCACGATCAAGGCCATGCACCCCTGCCCCACCCCCCATGGCTGAGTCCCCAGACTGATGGCTGCTGCATTCAGCGGCCGACCCCTTTTTTTGTTTGAGGGCGGATGATTCCCTGCTCCTGGCCCTGGGGGTCTTCTGCTCCACTGCTCACAGCTGAGACCGCCCCTCCCCCCCCCCGCATGGGATGCCCTTGGGAAGAATGCATTAGAACCCCCCCCCACTCCAGATCGCCACTTTGTTCCCTGCTGCAGCCTCCCAGCAGCCGCCCTCCTTCCCGAGAGATGGACTACTCCACGTACCCCTGGTGAGTTGGGTGGGTGGGATTGGCTGGGCCCCTCCCCTTAATCTGGAATCTTCTCATCGGTGAGGAGACTGGGGTGGGTGGGGGGAATACAAAGTGGCTGGGATGCAGGGGACAGTTTCTTGCCTGCTGGATGCAAGCGGGCTCCCTCTTCAGCATCGCCCTTCGAAAGAACCAGCACTCAGGATGTGAGGGAGGGTAAATTGGGAGGCCCTCCAAGGGAACCGCTGACAGGTGTGCCTTGGAAGAGCTGCCCAAGCTTCGGAGAGCTGTATTTCTGGAGGCCTTTCTTGGTTTTCTAAGACTTTCCCAGTGGCACCTGTGAAAAGGAGGAAAAAGCACCTGGGAAATAGAACAGCCCCCTGTGTCCTGTAGGACAGAGTTCCCCGGGGTGTCCAGCTTTGCGGACTGGGGTTGCGGGAGATGGTTTCACAGGAGCAGCCAGCAAGCATGCATGCACAGCTCCATTTGCACAAGCGGTGTGCATGTCCACCTGCCCCTCACGCAAATTTGCACACTCGCTGGACATTTCGGCTGCCCAGTTGCAGACCCCCTCCCACGGCCCAAGAGTTGGGGACCCTTTGCTGTAAGACTTTCCCCCCCCCCAAGTCTTGCTCAGAATGGACAAAGAGCTTCGTCCCTCAGAAAGGATGCTGGGAAGGCTTCCTTTGGGTCAGACCCTCTTGTGGCTTTTGGGGTGCTGTTCTCTCTTCAGCCAAACGGGGGAGGGAGGAAGAATTATTGCAGTGGGGTAGGTGAGAAGTGGCCTCCACTTCAGTTTTGGGTTGAACCACTTTTGGGAGGTGTTGCTTGAAGCCACAACCTGGAGCCACAGGAGGGGGCCTCATTGACCCCCAAGGTCCAGGATTTGAGGGGCTGTCCCAGAGAGGAGGAAGGCCCCCAAAGGCCAGACAAGGAATAATGCATGGAAACTGATCCAGGAGAGATTCAGAATATGGAGGAATTTCCTGACAGTGAGGACTACCAGTGGAACAGAATGTTTGGGAGCTTCATCCCTGGAAACTTTCAAGAACCGGACTGCCATTGGTCAGAAATGGTGTGGGGTCTCCCTGCTTGAGCAGGGGGTTGGACTAGATGACCTACAAGATCCCTTCCAACTCTGTTCATCTGTAGATTTGTAGAGGCGCACGATTGCAGGTTGAGGGCAGCCAGAGAAGGACGGGGGGCTGAGGAGACTATTGGAGCTGCAGGAGCCGCGAAGGGGAAGGCGGCCGAGGGTTCCCGGGGGATTCTGGCATGAGACCAGCCTCCCAACATCAGAGGGCCATCTGGGGGGGATCTCTCCTAACCCAGAGGGTGGGTCTTAGGTTTGCAGGCAACATGGAGCGGCAGCAGACGGACAACCTCCTGAAGCAGCACGCCAGCGGGACCTACCTGATCCGGGAGAGGCCAGCAGAAGCCGAGCGTTTTGCCATCAGCATCAAGTCAGTGGCTCGCGAAGGGCAGCCTCTCGTACCCCCGAGGGGCACGCAGGGTCTTTTCCAAAGGAGATGGGTTCACACAGACCCCAACTAGCTTCCAGACCCCTCCCCATCTTCCTATTCCAGAGGCCCTTTTCAACTGGCCTTGCAAACCTCTTTCCTTTCTGCTTGATGAAGGAGAGTTCTTGTTTTTAGGGTTCGCCAAAGAGAACTTTTCTGCTTCCGGTAATCGGTCCCCAATTAGTCTGCACCGGGGTCCTCCCTGGGAGGCCACGTTCACATCTCAAGCCCCCAATGGGGAGTCTGCTTGTCCCCCCCCTGTCCCCCCCCCCGTGGAGCAAGTTTTCAATTCCAGCATTTCAGCACATAGGGGGCACCCCCCCCCCCCAGATGGGATCTTTGGCTTAAGCTCAGCTCTGCCAGCCTCTTCCATGGGGCATATATGGAGGGGTGGTCTTTTGGGTGGGAAACCCCCCTGCCATGGTCTTCTGGAACCTCTGCCCTCTCCCGTGCAGGTTCAATGACGAGGTCAAGCACATTAAAGTGGTTGAAAAAGATAACTGGATCCACATCACAGAAGCCAAGAAGTTTGAAAGCCTCTTGGTAGGTTGGTATTTGGGGAGGCAACAACAGGCTGGTCTTGGGCCTGGACTTCCCGGGGGCTCCAAGGGGCTCACGGGCCTTGACCCGTCTTCTGCAGGAATTGGTGGAGTACTATCAAGCCCATTCACTGAAGGAGAGCTTCAAACAGCTGGACACAACGTTAAAGTATCCCTACAAATCCCGGGAACGCTCAGCCTCAAGAACCTTGGCTCGATCCCCAGGTAAGGACTGTCTCCGTGGAGAGCTGCAAAAGGAGCCCCCCCCCCCCCCCCCCCCCCCCGCTGCTGCATGGCTGGCATCCCCAGGCCGCCCCTTGAAGGCCCAGCCCCCACCAGCGGGCTGCTTTCCCCTTGGCCTGCAGGTCTGGCCGGCGGCTAGGGGGATGGGGCACACACCCCAGCCTTTCAAGACCCAGCGCCCCATGGCTTTCCACCCGGAGCAGCCACCCGAGTGGCTCAGCCCAGCAGAGCCAGGGGCCCAATTTAACCGGGGGGGGGGTGTCCGTGGCTGCTTTTCCATCAGTGGGTTGGAGGGAGGCGTTTGCAACAGACCTCCAGCTTTCCACACGTACACTTCAACAGGAAGGGCTGGGAAAGAGGATCCCCTCCCCCCCCAAAAAAATCTCTTCTCTTATGTGCAAGCCCCTCCGCGTTCCTCCCTGCAGCATCTTGAGCTGCTTACAATCACAGAAATGCCCCAAGAAATTCTAAAACTCTCCTGAGGCTGAAACGAAACAATTTTAATGCCTGAACTTGAGTTTATGTAAAGGACGCTGGGGTCCCTTCGGAAGGGGGCGGGTTTTTGCCACCCCCCTCAGCCTTAATGGGGAGAAAGTCAAACCGCCCCCACCCCAGGAGAAAGCAGGACTTCCCTGCCCTCCGCCGTGCTCTCTCATGAAAGAACCGAATTGGTGCAAGCTCCCCAGCTGATCACAAAGGCGCCCCCCCCCCCTCCAATGGCTGAGGGGTGAGTGAGGAAGGGGCTGGTCTGAGTGTGTGGACAAGCGGGGGACCAACGGCCTCTGCTTGGCCCAATGAACCAGGAAGCTCCATCCCGATTATTTTATGGCTCCGGACGAGATTGCCCCGGAGGTCCTTCCTGTGTGATTCTGGCTTCATCCCCAAAACTCATTTGGAGGAGGAGGAGGAGGAAGCCTGTGGCTGAGGCTGGTCCTGCATCTGGGCTCCCTGGGCAAGCGGGGTGGGCTTCCACACGCCCTCAGTGGTCCTTTTGGAGGCTGCCCACTTGCTCCCAGCCGCGCTCCACAGTCCAGTTGCTGGGCAGCCGCATCTGAGAGCACCTGCCCTTTGGTGCTTTAAGCGAAATCCTCCCCAGGAGCCGAGTCTGCTGGGCCTGCTCCTTTGGAGAGAGCCCCCCCCTGGCCCCACGGAGGAGGACCGGTGTGTCCTTCCCAGGCCGCTGCCGTGCTCAACCCCCTCCAGGCAGGAGAGCCCCTGGCTTCCTCTGTGAACATCGGCCTGCAGCAGGGTCTCCCTCCGGGGAGGCAGGCGGGGTGGAGAGGCCGGTCAGCCACCGCCACCTCCCTGCCAGGCCAAAGTGTGCAGAGCCGGGTGGGCTGGGTGGGCTTTCCCCCCTGCCTTGCTGATTTCTCCCCTGTTTCGTAAAAGTCCCCCTTTAATACTGTCTCCCCCCCTTCCCCCCTTTCTCCTGCTGCCTCCATTTCCCTCTGACTTCTCTTCTGCAGCTGCCTGCGCTTCCTACAATTTTTCCTTTCTCAGTCCTCAGGGCCACCACTTCACTTCTCAGAATCCCTCCACTCCTTTTTGGTCAGGTAGATATAGCTCTCTCTCTCTCTCTCTCTCTCTC